TTTGTTATCATTTTTCTAGAAGAAAATTCATTTTCGGTTTTCAAAAATAAATGTATCGTCCTTAAAATATAGAGGGGGGGGGGGGGGGGGATTTAAACTAATTATTGATAAGGACCACAAGAGGAATATGCTCTTCAAATCTGGTCTGATGGGTGGATAATGAAATTCCCTTAGGGTGCGTTTGGATAAGTGCATTTTAAATGTAAGGAATTTGAAATACTAGAATTTGAAATGGATGTATTTGGAGTATTAGCATTTGAAATACATGTAATTCAAATTCATTGTTTGGATACTCATTTGTAATTTGTTTGTATTTTTGTATTTATGATTTTCAATTTCAATTTTTAATTTTCTGGTCACTTACTACAAATTTTGGTAAATTACAGTTTGGTACCCAAAATTATTTTTTCTTACAATTTAGTACCTAAACTTTTAAAATTTTACAAAAAGGTCCTGAAATTTTGATGGTAAAATTATATTTTGGTACCTTTATATGTTTTGCCTCACACTATAGTACCTAAACTTTTCATATTTTACAAATAGGTCCATTCTTTTGTTAGGAGGTATTTCAAATCACTAGTTGTTGAAATATATTTGAAGTTGACAAAAAATACACTAGACATGTATTTGGAAATCACCCCATGAATTTGACACAAATCTAAATACCAAATGTAATTAATATCCAAACACATGATTTGGTATTTGAAAATCCAAATCACAAATACCAAATCCAAATCCTTGTATCCAAACGCACCCTTAGAAATTTCAGTGGTTGATTTGAGTGATTTTTATGCTAAAATTTAGTTTTGGTAGGGGGTGAAAAATGATTTTCATTTACCCATTTTTATAATCAGTGCCGGAGTCACCTTCTTTTAAGAGGGTGAGTGCCGGAATCCACCTCACGGTTAGGACAAGGGGAAAAAATATTTGTATAAAATTCGTAAGACTCAAACCCAACATCTCAAGTTCTCAACATATTATAAAGAATTTTGTCACATATTAATATGACATATTATGTTGATAACTCTAAATTTTACATAAAATTGTATTATGATTATTTATAAGGGGTTGATTAATTAGTAAGTTTCTTATATTTCGCCTGCCTTTTTTCTTATGTGTGTAGATTGTATTGTGGGTGGCAATCCCTTCAGTACTGAAAGCCGGCTCCGTCACGGCGATAATGACACTATTTCTGGTGACGTTCCTCGTCCAGTACCTGCCGAAGATCTACCACTCCGTCCGCGTCCTCCGCCGCATGCAAGATCACTCCGGCTACATTTTTGGGACCGTTTGGTGGGGCATTTTCCTCAACTTGATCGCTTACTTCGTCGCTTCCCACGTAAGTTCCTCGAACTTTCGCTAACCCTAGCTAGCTAGTTGAGTTGAAACTTCCTTTTCCTATAGCCCTATTTAATTTCCTCCAGGTGAAAATTCACGTACTCTTTTTCCCCCCTTTTTCTGCATGTTAGTATGTTACAGTCGTACTAGTTAGTTGAATGTTTTCTGAAGTAAGACCTCAGTAATTATCCCATGTTTACTTTTCCCTTTCTAACCCTTGACCTCGTTGAGTTGAAGTGTTAAGATCAACGGGGTTTTAGATGGTTAATGATCCAACGTTTAAGCATAGGCTGATATGTATGTTATCATCCCTCGTAACTACTAAATAGTGGTCACAAATGGATTTACATTTGTAGAATCATGAATTCGTGGGGTATAGATTATAGTTATATTTAGCTTCTGGTCCACTTTATAAATAAAAAATATATAAAGCTTACGGACTAGGGTCTCACTTAAAAAATCAGGTACTAAAAATATAATTTTTGGGTCAAATTTTCTATTCATTATAAAATAAATCAAAAACTTTTATTAAAAAATCAAAGTTTAAGAATTAAAATGGAAGATATGAAAAAATTAGGGTAATGTCTATTTTTTATCCAAATCTTTTTTAGATTCTTTTATATTATCCAAACCTATTAAAATTCTATTAATTATCCAAATCTTTCATAATGCATCAAAATATTAGCCACTTTTACGTTATCGTTAATAATTTTGTAACTATTTTCTTAGTTAAAATAATAAAATTTTGAATGTTGACCTTCATGAGTCTCTTTCAAGTCAGTATCATTTTGTCAAGTCAATAAAACTAGCAAAATTGCTAACTGAAAGTTAACATTTGGTTAATTCTTAGTATTTTGATAGGTTTGGATAATATAAAAGAATTTGAAAAAAGTTTGGATAAAAAATAGACATTACCCAAAAAATTATGCATTAAATTATAATTTTATACAAATCCATAAACTCAAACCGTTAAACTAAAAAGCCGACGAGATTTTATCAAAATGAGTTTGAAAATACTGAAATAAATCAGGTGACTGTATTATCGATTGTCACCTCTAAGAACTGTCGTTCTGATAGATATTAAGATTGATCTTGCTTAAAATCTTTTTTTTTTTTGTTGCCCATAATGTTTGGTCCGAATAAAGAAATTAGGTATCTAACTCATATATGTGTCTCTCTAGTTATGGGATTCCATGTAAACTAGATAAGAGTCATGGTGGGGAAGCGATGATCTGTAACGAATATATGTTGGTCTCCAATGATACAAACCTGCAATGATGCACGAACAATATACATGGCAATACTACTCAATCAATCGACCCAAAATAATTCACCCATCCTCAGCCATATATTCTCTTCTATTGGGTCCCCATCATATATGAACAAATTTCAATTCTGGATGCAGGCAGCAGGAGGTTGCTGGTACTTACTAGGCATCCAAAGGGCAGCCAAATGCCTCCAAGACCAATGCAAATCCACCATCCACTGCATCCCGCAGATCCTCTCCTGCAGACAGCCCATCTACTACGGATCCACCACCAGCACCAGGCCCATCAAGAGTCCAAGAGTCATCTGGGCCCACAACAACCACACCCGGTACACCTGCCTGTCCTCCCCGGACCACTACAGCTACGGCGCGTACAAGTGGACCGTCCAGCTCGTGGCCAACGAGAACCGGCTCGAGAAGGTCCTACTTCCGATCTTCTGGGGGCTCATGACCCTCAGCACGTTCGGCAACCTCGAGAGCACGACCGAGTGGGTCGAGGTCGTGTTCAACATCATCAGCCTGACCGGAGGAGTGTTGCTGGTGACGATGTTGATAGGGAACATCAAGGTTTTCTTGAACGCGACGACGTCGAAGAAGCAGGCGATGCAGCTGAGGATGAGGAACCTGGAGTGGTGGATGAGGCGGCGGCAGCTGCCCGTGGGGTTCCGGCAGAGGGTGCGGAACTACGAGCGGCAGAAGTGGGCGGCGATGAGAGGGGTGGATGAGTACGATATGATCAGGAATTTACCGGAGGGGATAAGGCGGGATATTAAGTATCATCTTTGCTTGGATTTGGTCAGGCAGGTGCCGTTGTTTCAGCACATGGATGATCTGGTGTTGGAGAATATTTGTGACCGGGTCAAGTCGCTCATATTCACCCGAGGTGAAATGGTAAGTTTTTCTTTCTTACCGTTGTTATGGAAAGACAAAAATTCAGAAATTTTCTCAATACTAGACTTCCTATAAATAAATAAATAAAAGATTATCATACTAGAGAACTAATTACTAGTTCGTTGGAGACTTAACGTGAACTACTATAGATTATGGTCAAATAGAGCGAACATTCCTCAAACCAGTATGGATCGCGAGAAAAAAGGAGCGGTCAACCTATATTGCTGATAACAACAATGATGTAGCACACCTAAAATGGCTAGAGTTTTCAGCGCGATCTACATCTAACACACTTAAAAAATTTGAAAGGTCATAACTTTGTGCTCGATTATTTGATTGTAGAAATTGTTTCAGCTTAAGTCGGATAATCGAGCGTAAAGTTACAACCCTTTAAAGTTTTTAAGTGTGTTAGGTGTAGATTTCTAGTTTATTCATCTATTTTTTTGGGGGCATGATTCGCTGGAGTCATCAGCGATCGATCTTGGTGGATCGCTCTTGTAGGCCGGGACCAAATTTGGATCTCTTCGATTGGGCGAGATCATGGCTATATCGCTAAGGTGTCCAACGAACCACTATCTAAATTTCTTGACACTCCCGTGAATATCTAAACTTTAGTATTAGCTTTTTTTTGTAGATGAGAAATTTTATGTAAGTATTGTATTGCGGAAATCTTTTAGTATTAAGTCTAGTATTTTAGTGTGACACTAAAAGAAAACCTAGTTTTAGAGATAAATAATTAGAGACAAATAATTAGAGACAATTATTATATTACTTTATAAGATAAAATATTGAATGTAAGAATGTTCTTTTCAGATAACAAGAGAAGGGGATCCGGTGCAAAGAATGCTGTTCATAGTGAGAGGCCATCTCCAGAGCAGCCAGGTCCTGCGCGACGGCGTGAAGAGCTGCTGCATGCTGGGGCCGGGCAACTTCTGCGGCGACGAGCTCCTCTCCTGGTGCCTCCGCCGCCCGTTCGTGGAGCGGCTGCCGCCGTCCTCCTCCAGCCTCATCACGCTGGAGACGACGGAGGCCTTCGGCCTGGAGGCGGAGGACGTCAAGTACGTCACGCAGCACTTCCGCTACACGTTCGTGAAGGAAAAGGTGAAGCGGAGCGCCCGGTACTATTCTCCCGGGTGGCGGACTTGGGCGGCGGTGGCGATACAGCTGGCGTGGCGGCGGTACAAGCACCGCCTCACGCTGACGTCGCTGTCGTTCATCCGGCCGAGGCGGCCGCTTTCCAGGTGTTCCTCGCTCGGGGAGGATCGGCTCCGGCTTTACACGGCGCTGTTGACCTCGCCCAAGCCGAATCAAGATGATTTTGACTTCTGAATTCATTCCTTCGTTTCAATATGATTGGATGTGCCGTACCCGTAAGTTTGTTTTTTTTTTTTTCATTCGATTCCTCTAACCTTGAGGAGAAAACAAATACCGATAAGAGTTGAATTACAACGACACCATCTATCTACTACGTAACCAAGAAACGTAGTCGAACCCAACAAACAATCTGGGTGACAAAATCAGGGCATGACGAGCCACATAATGAGCTTCCCTGTTATTAGAACGACCAACAAACTGAAGAGTAGAACCCTCCATAGCATCCAGGATTATACGAATTTCCTTAAGTATCGCGCCAATCTTTCCATCCATCAGCAGCCGATCATTGCACTTGTCAATAATTAGTTTTGCATCCCCACAACACATAACCGAAGCCAAGGATCTACGATGACAATAAAGCAAGCAATCTCGTAGAGCAATTGCTTCCAATATGTAAGGATCCACAATCACGTCCGACCTTCGTACCTGAGCCTCCAAAATTGAACCTCCCGAATCCTTTACCACAAATGCCGCTGTACCCAATTTTCCTTCTCGAGTTGCTCCATCAAAACTAACCACATAGTCGTACCCCTCAGAGGAAGCTGACATCGAAGAAGTCGGCAAGGCATGAAGAGAAGGCGGGATTGAATTTTGCAGTAGCGTTGAATCAGATTCGGAGACTTGATGTCGCCATTGCGCTGCAAGCGTGTCTACCTGCATCTGCTTATTTTCAAAAAAAACCATGCACCTGTTTTTCCATAATCTCCAAAGTAGACAGAAGACCTGCAATATGAAATAGTCAGCCTCCGAATCATTAGCATTGTACAGAGCAGAGCGTACAAACCCGGCAAAAGAACCTATCCTCCAAGAACGAAGATGATCATTGAAGCCAATCTTACGCCAAAGACGTCTAGCCACGGAACAGAGGAAGAAGAGATGTTCCAGGGTCTCTTCCTTCTTCCCACAAACCGGACAAATAGGAATAATGTCCATGCCGCGCAAAGCTAAAGCCTCTCGAGTCGGAAGAATTCGGTGAAGACATTGCCACATGAAAAATTTTAGTTTAGGGGGAACTTTCCTGATCCAGAGCCATTTCCACATTCCACAATCAACAATATCCACACCAGCCTTCTTTGGAGGAGTACGGTGCAATGAAAAAGCTAAATGATAGGCCGACTTCACCGTAAATTGCCCTGAAGGCTCTGGCTGCCAAATAAGTTCATCCGGAATCGAGTGCTGGGGGAGAGGAATTTGCAAAATAATGGCCACCGATTGAGGACAGAAAAAATGATTCAACGCAGCATAATTCCATTCCCTAGAGCCAGCGTCAATTAATCCCGAAACAAAAGGAGAAGAATGCATCAAACCTGGACGAAGGAGAGGGCTCGAAGGAGGAGAGGTAGGAAGCCAAGGATCAACACAAGCTCGGATTGAAAACCCATTCCCCACCTGCCAACGGATACCCTGAACCAAAAGATCCCTACCAAATAATATGCTCCGCCACCCCCAAGATGGATTCGAACCCACTCCTGCCGACAAGAAATCTCCTGAAACGGCAAAATACTTCCCTCGATAGATCCGGGCAATAAGAGAAGTAGGATCATGGACAACCCTCCAAGCAACTTTCGCCAACAATGCCTGGTTAAAGCAACCAAACTCTCGAAAACCCAACCCTCCATCAAACTTACTTAGACAAAGGGATTTCCAAGCTCGCCAATGGATTCGACGATGATGTTGGGTTGCTCCCCACCAGAACCTCGCCATATGAGCATTGAGACGGCGAATCAATTCGAGGGGTAAACGAAAACAAGACATAATATATACCGGTAAGGCAGAAGCAATAGATTTCAGAAGAACCTCCTTCCCAGCTGCCGATAGTGAACGAAGCTTCCACCCTTGAAGAACCGCCAAAAGCTTCTCCTCGACAAACCGAAATGTATCCACCTTCGACTGACCAATCAAAGCCGGAAGGCCAAGATACCGATCCTGTTGCCCAATAGAACCCACCCCCAAGAAAACTCCCAACTCCTCTTGAAGAGGTTGTATAAGATTCGGACTAAAATACGCAGCCGATTTAGACAGATTGACTTTCTGTCCGCTGATACCTTCATAATCCCGCAACAACTGAAGCAAATTAGCCCCATCCCTTCTAGACGCACGCAGGAACAAAAAAGAGTCATCAGCGAATAGCAAATGTGAAACCAATGGACAGCGGCTATTGATCCTAACACCATGGAGTTGTCGTCGAGCAATCGCCTCCTTAATAAGCGCAGTGAAGCCTTCCGTACACAAAGCAAACAAGAGAGGTGAGAGAGGGTCACCTTGGCGCAATCCACGGGAAGAGGTGAAATACCCAGATGGCTGACCATTAACCATCACGGAAAACGAAGTCGTGGTAACACATTCCTTGATCCAGTGAATCCAAGTAGATGCGAATCCCAGTTTCTTCAAGATAGCAAACAAATAAGGCCATTCGATACGATCGTAAGCCTTCTCCATATCCAATTTAAGCCCCATAAATTTTTCCCGTCCTTGCCTTTTATTCTTGATAAAGTGCATAACCTCGTGAGCCACCAAAACGTTGTCCACAATTTGCCTTTCCCGGACAAAACCATTCTGCTCAGAAGAAACTAGAGAAGGAAGAATGGAACCTAACCGAGAAGCAATGATTTGTTTGGTAATGTAATTATCATGTAATGGTGGTGGGCTGGTGGGCTTTCCATTTATTGATACGCGACTGCATTCCGGCCCAATGGATCCTCTAAGCCTTATGGGCTTTAAGTATTACCCAGTAAAACCTCTTAGCATGTTATTTGGGCCTAACGTGGTGGCCTGGTGGGCACTCCACTTAAATGGTTGTCAAATATTAGTATGTCGACCGGTATAACCGGGTTCAATCAGTATTGAACAAAAAACGGCTGAAAAATTACTGGAATAAGGCGGTAGCCAAAGTCGGTAATAAAAGTCAAAATCGAGTAAAAAATAGTACAAAATGACATTATTTTGGTGGAATTAACTAACAAAAATATATAATTTCAAATATGAGCATTTAGATGTTATTTATTGGATTCAAGTATGAGCTTTTAGATATTGATGTGAAATGTTGTAATATTTAAACATGAACATTTGTCATTTAAATATGCAGGAAGATTGTGTTAAGACATATTATATCATGCACCATTCATTTGGTGTTAACGGTTTTCCACTTTCTCGTGTAATTTGTTAAAACCGGCATATAAACCAAATGTATCCCGCTTATTACCAAACTGACTTAACGATACAAGCCGATATGACAACTTAGCTAACGTGTGTGGCTCATGAAGCTAGACCAAGTTCATGAATCCTCTGGTGCATATGATAAATGCTTCTGTATTTGATTTCTTGATAGCCATTAATTCTTTTTCAGTGCTTTTTCTGTTTGAATTGCATCCGCCGACAACGTTACTACAAGGTTCTCGATCTCCATTTCGTACGAAGACAAATGCACATTCCTGGCCGGATTCAGTAATATCCCATTAATGGATCGTCACAGGGGAAATCAGAACTGAAGAAGGGTATATATATAATCAGGACTTGACTGCAAAGTCATGGTCTTTATCGGCGGCGGGGTTTTCAGGGCCGGCGGATCCCCTGAAGAGCAGAATGGCGAGGCTGCCGATCTGGAAATGGATGAAACACCCGAAGCAATGCGTCACGAAGGACCCGAAATCGGTTCCCACTATGCACTGCCACCCTGGTCCATATACTCTGTCGAATTCCTGCCAATCGAACGAGAAAGAAACCAATTGGTCAAAATTGCACCAGAACCCAAAACAGAGCATCTGGGTTTAGTCTAGATACAGTACCTTCTTGATGAAACGGGCGATTTCAGTGGGCTCGGTGACGTCGAAGGAATCCAGGGCCTCTGCGGCGAGATGGAGAGCATCCTGTTGCATCTTCTGGAGCATGTCGGTCTCCCCAACCACTGCTTTGCCTTCCAGCATCGTCCAAGTTTAGTTAATGTCGCCGGGTCAACAACTGAGGAAACGATTGATTAGGAATGAAAGCAAATATCTCGAGTCAGAAAAAAGTGTGAAGGAAGGAAGGTGCAGAGGAGAGAAGATTGTGAGTGGTAAGGAGGATTTTATAGGGTTCTGGTTGTGCTAAGGTCATCCATTCCATCCACGTAGCAGATCCCCATACCTTTGTGGCCAATAACTCACCCCAGTGATGAGGCAAGGGAATCCATCCCCTGATTTGGAAATTGGAATCTTGGCAAATATATAACAGCCATTCGAATTAATAGCGTATTCTTTTTAAATCATGCATTAGTAATGATTTACAGTGGTATTAGTCCTAATTATTATATCAGCCTAGCTGATTTTGTGAGGCCTGAAATTGATGGTGGAAGAAATGGCTCTTCAGAGTCATGGAGAGATTGCCATGTGTCGGCCGGCAAGATGTCACCCTAGCTAGCTAATCATTTGTCAATTTGTGTACTGCTAGCTAGTCGACTGGGACTGGGAATGGGAAAGATGGAGACTGGAGAGCTTTTTCAGCCTTTGGTTCATAATTTTTGGAGACAAATTCCCCTCCTCGTCGTCGTTTTGCTGTATATGGCAGCCCTAAGTTCTTGGGTTAGCAGCGGTCGCAATGACGCGTGAGCTGTGAGCATGAGAGTCTTTTCCTTTTTGCCTGCTCACAGTCACAGACCTACTGGGGGGAGTATGTGGCCATTAGTTTAGTGTATTTAGGGCACGAGTTTTGTGTTTTAGTTACTTGGATTGTGCTTTCTAACTTCAAAACGGGATGCTTGGAAAATGGTTAGTACTTCTTCAACTAACCTCGTAGTCTATATCGAGTTGTGATTTGTGAAAGAGGATGAGGGGCGCCTGTTGGTTTAGAAAGTGTTAGCGTACCATTCTGTAATTGTATAATAATTAGCCGCGTTAGTATTCTAATTTAGTAGGGCTGATAAACGGTTATATCGTTAACGGTGTAATCGATAACCGAAACGGAATCGGAGTTTGACGATTACACTGATAATCGTTTAAATAGTAAATGATCGATTCTCGGTTATTCAAATTTAACTAATAACTAACCGATGATTAAAAGATTAATCGACTAACCGATTACGACCATACTCATAGTTAGTACCGAAAATAATAGACCTCCAATTGATCCTGGAGACCTTATGGGCTTGAAACATTTCGCAGTAAAACCTCTTAATCATGTTATTTGAGCCTAACATGGTGGCCTGGTGGGCACTCCACTAATATGGTTGTCAAACACGGATATGTTGGTTGGTAATGTATAACTGGGTTCAACTAGTACTGAACAAAAAATGGCTGAAAAGTTGTCGGTATAAAGCGGTAGTCAAAATAGGTAATAAAAAGTCAAAATCAAGAAAAGAATAGTACGAAAATGATATAGTTTTGATGGAATTAACTAACAAGGAGAAATAAAATTTTCGGATTCAAATATGAACATTTAGATGTTGATGTTATTTACTGGATTCAAGTATGAACTTGTGGATATTGACGCCAAATGTTGACATTTAGATATATGATGATGTGCCATCGTGTTTTTATATAATATTTTATTTAAATATGGAAAAATTGTATGTAGATTGTGTTAAGACAGATTATAAAGATATGCACATTTTATTTGGTGATACTGATTTTTCACTTTTTTTTCCGTATAGTTTGTTAAAACCTACATATAAACTAGTTGTATCCTGATTATTAGTTATTACTAAACTAATACAAACCGATGTGACAACTTGCTAACAAACGTGTGGCTCATAAAGCTAGAACACTCTGACGTCTTTTCTCTCTACAATTAATTAGCAGACCTGACGCTAACAAACGCGTCTTGCCCTGCCTCTGATCTCTCTGTTCCAAAATTCGGGTCTCTCTGCCTGCTCTGCATTCTGTTCGGACGTCGATGGAGTAACAAACCTCATTAATTCAGTGTCTGCTGGTTAGGACAGTGATGACTGATGAGTAGGGGTGGAAATCGGTACGGTATCGGTATCCCAATACCAAATACCGAAATTTCGAATACCGAATTACACCCTGAAATCAATCCCGATCCCAATCCCTAAATAATTTCGGTATCCCAATCCCAATCCCTAAATATTTCGGTATCCCAATCGGCACCTCGGTATCCCAATCGGTATTATCAAATACAAAATTAATTACCTTTGCCATTAATAATTAAATATATAAATTAGATTTTATTGTTTAATTTAGGGCAAAGAGACTAAGCAAAGAGTCTTGAGTTTCCTAGAGCTAACATCTCAAGTTTTTGTAATTGGTAATCTTTAATTTGATGAATTTGAGGTTGAGAAACGACTAATACTAGTGTGAAATAGTTATATAATGATCTATGTATAATTAAATGGCACTCTTGGTGGTTGAGGATCGCGTAGTAGTGAATGAGAGAGTCTAGTTGAGAGGATAAAATACACACTAGCTTATATTTCGGTATTGATCGGTATTTCGGTATATACCGATCCCAATCCCGTAATCCCTAATACCGAATAACAATTGAAACTCAATCCCAATCCCACAAAATAATATGTGTATTCGGTAATACCAAATATAGACAAATTCGGTACGGTATTCGGTATATCCCAAATACCAGTACCAAACTTCCAGCCCTACTGATGAGGGTCTAAATAGGTTAGGAGGGTATTTTAGGCATTTCGCTATGTTAGGATGAATTCACGTTTTGGGTCGGAGTCTTTATAATGTAACTTTACTTGTTTCGTCAAGAAAAAGTAATAATTTCGATTATCCATCTACTCTTCTTCTTTCTCTAATTGGCATCGCTAATTTTTTTCTCTAATCAGACATTCACTAGGTAGCTACGTCAACCGACGAGAATGTATTTGAGTTATATGTTGTGTTGAGTCAAACTAAAACGAATTTACATAATTTTCTAAATTGAAGTGCGAATCTGTCGAATAATTTGCTAGACCCAAAACGACCGATGCTATGAAGAAACCAGATCGAGGAATGACTAAAATCAAATAAACACAATTACAAAAAAAAGTTGCTTCTACGACTTTGACAACTTCGATCATTAGTGACGAGTCCTCCAGCCATTGGCGGATACATGCATGTTTAGGGGTGTCCCGGGACACCCCTAAAATTTGGAAAAATGATTGTGCAGCCTCCGATAGTAGCTTGCGATTGATAAAAAAAAATACTTAAGTGGTAGCGGGACACCTTTAAAATTTGGAAAATTATTATTTAACTTCAAGTAGTAATTTGCGTATGAGTAGAAATAATATTTATGCGGTACTCTATGTGATTTGAACTTGGAAGAGTATTGCTACTATTAGTTAACATATTTTCAATTAGACTATGTTGTTTTGTTTTAGATACAAATATAAAAGTAAAAGGCTATTCTTATCCTCAATTATTTTCAACACCTAATAATTAAACCCGATTACCGGCTACCCTTGTCTAGTATGATATGTCGAGAGATATTTGATGCGTAGTGTAGATACGGAATGTATTCGACCATGTTTCATAATATGAAACACATCTGAATTTTTTATTGTACCTTTTACTAGTTGGATAGTTATTAATTTTAACATTTGATATTTAATAATAATTTATTTTTTTTGGAAAAGGATATCCCTATATAAACTTCCTAGATCCGCCACTGCCTCCAGCTTATCCGAACACGAAACGACGGCCTCAGTCAGCAATTCTAAAATACCAGTGTTTTTCTATCTTCCGAAACTAACCTTTCAATACCATCACCCAGTTCATATAATTTCAAGGTCTCATCCAAGTAGCCTTGTCGACGAAGCTTCTTAATTATCCTTAGTATGGTCTTATCTAAGTCTAGACTAAACTATTAATCTAAGGTCCCATAATCGAGTCATAATCATACTAGCTAGCTACTTGTTTGGTTCTTTGAGATCGCTGATGGGTCCTCTCTCTGTATTTTCTAAGCACCAACTATTCCATCCAACGCCAACTGGACACAGCCCATTCCCTCCCTTTCCCTAGCTAACACTGAAAGTAACTTCATACCAATCTCTCCTCCTCCTCCATTAGAAAAAACTTTGACTTGGCCTCTCTTTTCCTACCCACTTGCCCCATCCCCCATGAAACTCATGCACCAGCTTGACTCTTCCCGTCCAATTTCCAACTATAAAAGCCTCCCTAAACCCTTCTGCTTCTCTCATCCCTTCAAACCATTCGAATCTTCTACACACGATTCCTGCCCCCCCCCCCCCCCCCCCCCCGAATCGAACAAAATGGCGGCTTCGTTAGCTTGCTCGATATCGATCTTGCTAATCGCGATCGTCTCAGCAGCAGGCAACTTCAACCAGGACTTCGACATTACGTGGGGAGATGGCCGAGCCAAGATCCTCAACAACGGCCAGCTCCTCACCCTTTCCCTCGACAAGGGTTCCGGTTCGGGGTTCCAGTCGAAGCACGAGTACTTGTTTGGCAAGATCGACATGCAGCTCAAGCTCGTCGCTGGCAACTCTGCTGGCACCGTCACTGCCTATTACGTACGTTTGTTACAACCTCAATTCGCGTCCCAACCCTTGTCACGTCCTCTTCATTTGTCATCAATTGATTTTTTTTTTCCTTCCGAATTTTGTGTGCGTGCAGTTGTCGTCGAAAGGATCGACATGGGACGAAATCGACTTCGAGTTCTTAGGCAACTTGAGTGGAGATCCTTACATCCTTCACACCAATGTGTTCTCACAGGGCAAAGGGAACCGAGAGCAACAGTTCTATCTCTGGTTCGACCCGACCGCAGATTTTCACACTTACTCCATCCTCTGGAACCCACAGCGCATCATGTAACCTTTCCTGACTAAACCCAGTAGTTAGAAGTTAGAACTTAGCAATTATAATTCCTGACTGAGCTCTGAATTACAATTTCTGAAAATTAATTTGTGTGTACAGATTCTCAGTGGACGGCACTCCGATCAGGGAGTTCAAGAACATGGAGAGCAGAGGCGTCCCGTTCCCGAAGAGGCAGCCGATGCGAATCTACTCGAGCCTGTGGAACGCAGACGACTGGGCGACACGCGGAGGTCTGGTGAAGACGGACTGGTCGAAAGCTCCATTCACGGCTTCCTACAGAAACTTCAAATCGGAAGCT